CCCCCCAATCCCGTCAGGTGCATAATAAAAACTAAAACCTAGACATCCATGGTTTATGCAGCACTAGAAAAAATGATGTATCTCAGTCCCTAAAGCAACCTTCACTGCACACAAGAAGCACCTGGGACAAAACAAAGAGGTTTTCAAGTGAACACCAGCTATAGATCAAACAAACGACTCCCTCTCCTTCCAAAATACAGCTTTGCATTGGAGACCCTGTGCAAAAGCAATTCTAAGGGAGGGCTACCAGTCAACCAACACTGTCAGACACTGCCTGGCACCACAACGCTTGCAAAGGTCTCTGGATGGAGACCTCCTGGTTCAGCAACCACCCAACTCACTTCCAGAGCTCCTCCAAGTCGCTGATTGCTTCTTTCTTCCTGCCATGCTTTAATTTGAAGTTGGCAGCTTCCCTTATCAGTGACAGATGGACAGGAGACTTTGGCTGAAAGAAAAGCAGTCATAATTTGCTCCTAACTATCACAGCATGGCTAGCTGGCTTTAATGCCCCTGAGACCTGGCCAAGGAGAACTGTGTTAGCACCCTGTCACGCAAAAAGTAGTCCACCTTTGCACTCCAGGGTGTGAGGCAGAATTGCATGAAACAAGGCCACTTGCTGCTCCACAATGTTTTCTACTCAGGAAGAAGGCCCTATTGCTATATTTGGACACTCATTGCCCCCACTTTTATCTGACAGGAGCTGCTGCTCCCTTTTCAAAACACATCTGAAGTAATGATACAGTGATAAAACAAATCTTCACAAAACAGGAGCTCACAGGTCTCCAAAATGCCAACTGGGTGTGCTGCTGGGGCTATGCATCAACAGGAAAGCTGAACAGGACTTGTTATAAAGACTGGGACAAAGCCTTGCATATTAGCTCCTCTGGTCCGACTTGCCTGGAATTGCTGATACCACTGGATAGCCTGTGTGAAGACCTCGATTGCACTGTCAATGTCCTCTTCATGACTGTACATTGTCACCAACGCAGACACCTGCAAACATTCAAGAGCAGCTTATAGCAAATCTTCACACAAGCTATCTATAGCCAGAGAGTCAGCAGTTAGATGACGGGATTTCCCAAAATCAGACTCAGTGTGAGCTTTCTGCTCTGTCCCTGAAAACCAGCTGTGGTAACAGGCAGGATACCCAGGCTTGATCTTCCTACCCAGATCCCTCCCAAAGAAATGTCCCCACCAATCTTTTTCCAGTACAAGCTCAAGACTGCATTCACAGGAAGAACCTTCTTTGCTTGCCACTGGACACAGTATCATTAGAAACCCTTTTCCTTCCCCCATTCTTTATCCCAATAGCCATGAAAAAAGAAATCAGCACTGAAGAGATGATACAGACACCACCTGTTTGTTTACACCCCAGTCACAACTAGAGATGACATGCAGAGCAAGAGCAGGTATTGCTGACTGCCCCATAAATTACTTTGATCATTCACACTTGCAAATGGAACAGACCTGCAACTGTCAGCTGCTGCTCAAGATCCTTATACTGTACACCTGAGCAGTTTCAAAG